TAACCGCCAGCTTAGTTGCAAAGCAACCCTCGAAAGTCAGAGACTTGTGTGAGTTAAGAAGACGGAATTGAAACAATTAAATGGTTCATTACATATTGTGTACTTTATCACTCGATAGAGGGCCTTAGATAGCTACAAAACTTTGAACATCTACATTTGTGATCTCGAGGACGTGGCTATCGAAATATAATTTGAGATTAAACGACTTACCTAAGGAAGTTCAATTCTCAATTATATGAGATAGCCACGTCCGAAGAGATCACAACCCACCCCCCGCGACATCTAGTCACCCCTCTTGTAGCCATCTAAGTAGAAAGCGCAAAACTATAATGAATCAGAAGGTATTCGGCATCGGGCGATGCTGATAAGTTTTAGCACGATTTTAAACATTATGCACAGGGTCGGAGCGACAAGGAACAACTACATTTGTGATCTCTTCGGACGTGGCTATCTCATATAATTGAGAATTGAACTTCCTTAGGTAAGTCGTTTAATCTCAAATTAAAACGCAGTGTATTGAGTTTTAATATAGATAACTAAACATATAAGTGACAGTCGATTGTATTAAGAAAACGTTAAGTGAATTCAAAGTAACGTTACATAATTATAAACAAATATATTTTAATGCAAAATCCGGTATAGTGTCCACAAAGTGGGATATTTGTCAATATTCAATTTATATTCCATGATATCAAGATTATTATAACTTAATATTGATCTGTATATTCGTTTGTAATTTTTTAAAATACCATCAGTTCATGATGAAATTATATTAGTTAGTCCATATTCAACAATGTCATTTGATAAAAACAAATAAAATGTCTTTATTGAAGATAAATTGTTCTCTCAGTGTATTCTTGTGGAAAACTTCCTAATTTTGTGGAAAATTTTGCTCGCAGTGTGTTTGCATATTTCTCACAGAGTTGTAAACGACAATGTGAATTGCAAGAATTTCAGAATTCATCAATGTGAAACCACATAAATTTTTACACCCTGCGCAGACAAGGTGTTGTCATTGATGCTGTGGTTAGTCGCAATTTAGAACAGTGGAATGCACTGAAATTATCTTTCACTTCTGAATATTAAGATTCAGGTAATGAAAATGACGAAGGAATTCATGAGGCTCTGTCAAATCCAACAATAGTTATTTATTATACAAGGGAGGAAAGTAGTAGATTTCAGCTCCAGGTTGTGTTGAGACAAAAAATCGTGAGCTAAAATCTAATATTTTTCCCGTGTATAATACACTATTTTTTTCTGTGACAGAAGAAAGGGCGAATCAATACTGAGAAGATATCACATTATTTTGAAATCTGAAAATTATCGTCGAGAAATTTTAAGTTTTTAACAGTAGGGTCACCTGCGTTGTAGGCATCTGTATCATTATTTTGAAGTAATCAAATATCTGATGTCAGTTCTGTCAGTTCGATTCTGTGATTTGATTCCAAAAAATTGCGAATTCAGTGGTTGTTTAGTAATATACGTACCGCAAAGTCGAATGGAAGATGAAAGGACTTTGCAGTTCTTTCTCGGAGACGGTATTGTTGACTCATTTTTCGGAAGATAGCACAACAAAAGCCATCAACAGTGTATGTGATATATATCCGGGAAAGAAGTACTCACTTTTTTTCCACAGGAAAAAAGTAATTTATGAAAAGTGACATTTTATAACTTGCCAACAGAGATGAAATGCCAAACTTTTTTCCCGTCACAGAAAAAAATCATTTTCATCATTTTTAAACTACATTCTTCCTTCATTTAATAAATTGACAAAGGATTTTTTGGATTTTTTACGCATTATGGTTTCATTATAACATTCGAACTTACATATTGATGCGCAGGCGTGTACAAAAGCTGGTACATCCATGATTCTCCTCGATTTGAATATTAAGAATATGCAATTCCTCGTATTCAGTTATCGCCGCACAAAACTACGTATTAGACCGCTTCCTTCAGTTACGAGGTTTTGTATGCATATCTTCATTTGTCAGGAGTACGGAAGGTGATTTGTACGTCTTATTGCAACTTGATCTTAGCCGTGTATAATCTGCATTTTGTGTTGTTGATTTTTGTTTCTTGCTTCAGAGCAAATTTGTTTGCCTGACGAATATATCAAGGGTATTGAAATATTGTGCCTATCTCTAAAAATATTCAGAATCTATAAATGCAGCGCCATCTATTGGGATTTCTCAGATTCACTCTTTCAGGTATGTGTATCTCTTTCTAGAGAAATAAAATCAGTCTTTTTCCTGAGTTTCACAGGAGAGCTATTGTGTCTTATTATTCCCGGTTTCTTCACAAAAATCAACAGGTTATGTGCCCAGAACGATAGCCGGTGAAAATATTGTTGATACGAGTTATAGTTCCGTTGTTACAGTAAAGAAAAGACCAAGGACGTTTGGGACACACTGAAGGATCTGTATGAAAACAAAGTATTCACGAGGAAAATATCTCTTCTCCGTAACCTGATTTCATTAAGGTTAGAGAGCTGCTCGTCGATGGCAAAATATGTCAACCAAGTAATCAAGACTTCCCAAAAACTTGATCGGACAGGACTCAAACTTGATACGTCATTGGTTGGAAGCTTACTTTTGGCGGGAATCCCAGATCGTTTTGCCCCGATGGTAATGGCGCTTGAGCATAGCGGAATCGACATTACCACCGACTCCATTAGGTCAAAGTTGCTAGATATGCAATTAGATGGCGGCACTAGTTCGACAGGTGGGCTTTCGCTGGAAAAATAGGCAACCAGAAACGTCAAAGTCAAAGTCAGAATAGAAATAAAAATGACAGCCGCAGTAAAAGCAAAGATGACATCATTTGTTTTAAATGCAAACTGCCAGGCCCTTTCATGTCAAAATGGCCCCAACCCAATCAAAACAAAGGTATTGATAAGCAAACAAAAAGTGCTTTCAATGTTGTTTTCCTCAGTGCGAATTTCAACAACAATGATTGGTATTTAGACTCAGGTGCGACTGTATACTTAACTTGCAGGCAGGATTGGCTATTGAAGCAAAGAGAACCCACTGTAAAGGACATCATGGTTGCAAATAATAGTAAAATCGCTGTGCAATTGAGTGGTGAAGTTGACATTCCTACGAAAGTTGGTGAAGAAAATCATTCAGTAGAAGTCATAAAGGCTCAGTATGTTCCTGAACTAGCAACAAATTTGTTGTCACTAAGTGATCTTTTGAAAAAGGGTAATTCGGTGGGGTTTGACAGTGAGAGCTGTGAAATATTCAAAACTGATAAAGTTTTAGTAGCTAAAGCCTTCTTAAATGATTGTGTGTATAAGATTGATACTCCCAAAAGGTGCTTATTGGCTGGACAGGCTGTTGCTACTGGTGAAACATTGCATAGGATGCTAGGTCATATGAACTCCAGTTATTTGAACAAAATGCAAGATGGTCTCGTGGATGGCATCAACTATGATGGTCAGGTGAAAATCAAACTACAAAATTGCGAAGTCTGTTGTGAAGGGAAGCAAACACGTCAACCTTTCGGACAGTCAAGTACAAGAGCTACTGGTTTACTTGACGTAGTACACACAGATCTAGCAGGACAAAGTAGGAAACTTCCATAGGAGGTTCAAAGTACTATGTAGAGTTTCAAGATGACTGCAGTCGAATGTCATTTGTATATTTCTTTCTAGAGAGTCTTTTTACTGAGTTTCACAGGAGACCTATTGTGTCTTATTATTCCCGGTTTCTTCCCATGAATCAACAAAGGGCTCGGTGAGTGCTTCATTATTCATTCTAATATTCACAGAAATTAGGTACCTTACTTTGATTGTAGTATTCTAGGTTATGTTTTTGTCTTCAATTAATTTTCTTTACAATTCTTTCATCAAATTCAAATTCTATTAAGTATCGAAAATTGTCATGAGATTTCTATTCAGATCCAATTCTTAGTCTGAAAAATATTCGATATTCTTCAATTGGATTGGAATTTTTTTCCAGATCTCGCAAGTACGAGGTTATGTAGCCATGTAATGAGTAAGCCAAAAAATTTATCCAGAGAAGACGTGCTGGTTGACATGGTTTTATCATAGAAATCTTAGGCAACTGAGACGAAAGCAGATTCTGAGTCGAATAATAATGTACTGAAGGAAATTTGTGATATTCAGGGTACAGAATCTGTGGATGGCGAAACTTAATTTTCATCCCCTGATGAAAATATCTCATTATTGAATGAAATAACCGAATTGAAAAAACTTTGAATTATATACTCAGCAGAGGAGAAGGAGAAAGAAGATATAAATGAAGAAGTTTTATCGTTAGAACTGACTCTTGAACAATGATTTCAGATTGATGGTGATGATGACATGAAATAATGCATTAGTTGCGACTTTAATTGATGATGATACTGATTTGACATCTGATGAATCTAAATAAGGCTCAAAATCAAAGAATCATGAGAATATTTCGGATTCGAATGAAATAAGTCGATCTGTTTCGGAAATAGACAAGGATGATGGTGCTACTTCAGACTCAGATTTTTAAGAAACAGTAGAGGAATCAAGGTCGGAAACAGAGGATGAAGAAAACGATGCATCAGAAGAAAAGGTACTGAATGATTCGAACACTGAAAGAGGTGGAATCTGCATCTCAAAGAGGAAGCTTCCTCAGATCAAAAGAGCCAGAGACGAGAATAAAAGAGCTAGGATGTTTGGAAATGATTATTCGGGCCTGAAGAGAGATGTTGATGGTCATTTTAAATTGATGGCAAATAAAACCAAACGTTCCTTAGAACTCAGATGTTCCTCTCAGAAATGTGCATTTTTGAAATTCGGGTTCTGTTCTGAATTCGAAGAGGAAGAAAGATAACATATTTTCGAAATATTCTGGAAATCAACATGGAACATGAAGAAAATTTTTCTGACTTCAATGGTTGACATTGTTTCCAGCAAACGCAGGGTAGAAGGCTCTAGGCACACTTCAAAAAAAAAAGAACAGAGAAGAAGCAGGAATTTTATCGAGTGTTGATAAATAAACAGAAATATGGATCCGAGTCTGTACAACGAAAGGCGTGGAGGGTGAGTATTTCCGGAATAAAAATACAATTGAAAGTGTATAGAGCTGTGAATATCATATTGTTGGATTCACAAATCTTTAAAGAATTATATTCAATCTGAAATTGAGGGAAATTGTCATCACTTCTGAAAAAATCTCATCCTCAATATTGTGTCCCTTTGAAGGGACATTATTCATAATGGCTATTCTTCCTAAATATTTTCTTTTATTTCAGCTTGCCTCTACATGAGTTACTAGCAGCTTTGGAGGACGATATCGTCGATTCTGCCGATATCTATATCACTCCACCTCAAGATGGTGAAGAAACAGATCAAGATAGTGACTTATCGGATGATGACCATGAGGGCAATATAAACCATTTGGGTCCAGCAACGCTGAAAGCTGAGGCAGAGGTTATTCTACATCGTACCATACGACCCAGTAAACTTTCAAATGATGATGAAGTTCCTTCATGTTCTCATAATTCATCGAAACCGCCTACTCCTCACAAAATGGCTCCATCATCCAGTATGCAAGACTCAAGTGATGATGACCTTCCGCTGTCGTCATTCATACAATCGAATCAAATTTCGTTAGATAGGCCTGCAAAGAAACAGAAACCAAATGTGCTGCCAAAAACACATGAATCGAATATGGAAATGAACCTGAGAAGAGTAGCAAAAAATAAAGATGAAATGGTATGGAAAGAAGTCGAACCCAATTTTATTTTGAATACAGATTGCGTTGCGAAGGATCCACCAACAGATCTTCGAGAAAAAAAATCTCCTGTAGATTATTTTTCGCTGTTTTTTGACGAAAATGTGTTGAGGCATATAATAGAGCAAAGCAATACCTACGCATTATCTAAGAACGCGAATACCCCATTGAATATCACAAAAGAGGAGTTATTTGTTTTTTTTTGGTGGTCTCTTGCTATCAGGGTATGGAAAATATACCAACAAGAGAATGTACTGGGCTCGAGAAGATGACGTTCCAAAAATTTTATCTGACAGTATGCGACTGAATCGTTTCGAATTCATTTTACGAAGCCTTCACCTGAATGATAATACTCAAATCGATAAAGGCGATAGACTCTATAAATTGAGGCCATTGATTTCTAGTCTGAATGAAAATTTCAGAAAATTTGGTGGATTGGAAGAAAATTTGAGTATTGACAAAAGCATGGTTCCATATAATGGAAAACATTATGCAAAACAGTACATCAAAGGTAAACCCATTAGATTTGGGTTCAAGAATTGGGCCTTATGTACAGATAACGGATATATGTTGGCATTCGACATATATACTGGCAAATCAATACAAGCAGAAAAACACGATTTTGGATTGGGGGGTAAAGTTGTACTCTCCCTACTAGATCTTGCCAGTATACCTCCGAATGAAGGCTACAAGTTATTTTTTGACAATTATTTTACTCCTGTTGCCCTACTAAATCATCTTTCAGAAAAAGGATATTGTGCAAGTGGAACCCTTCGTGATAACCGATTGAGTAACTGCCCTTTGAAAGGTGCAATAAAAAACCGAGACTGGAAAGGCAGAAATCGAGGACATTTTGAGTTCTCTTCATCTGAAACTGTAGCCGTCGTTCAATGGAAAGATAATAAAACCGTGTGCGCTGGTACAAATTTTGATGGAGTTGGAATAAAAAATTGTCTACGATATTCAAAAGATGAAAAGTCAAGAATAACTGTACCTCAACCAGAAATCATAAACAGGTATAATAAAGGGATGGGGGGCGTTGATAAATTGGATGGAATGGTTGCCTATCTTTGCCTATCTGTTTGACGTAAGCGTTGTAAACGCCTGGTTGTTGATGAGAAAACTGCATCCAAATGATTCTGTTTGCAGAAGTTTGTTGAATTTCAGGAGGAATTTGTGTCTGATTTTATTGCAAACATATGGTGTCAAATCAATGAAAGGTAAAATGCCCCCGAAATCTCTACAGCAGGTGTGATTTGATGAACGAAATCACATCGTTGATTACTGCCCAACGGACAGAAGATGCGCAACATGCGGAAAGAAATCCAATTTCGTATGTACCAAATGCAGTGTGGGCCTACACCCCAAAAACTGTTTTAGGGCATATCATTCACCTAGATGACTTGTATGCATAACGTCCCCTAAAAGGGACGGTCATTTTTTTCATTCCCAATAAAAATTTCAGTTTTTTGTATTGCGAATATGTCTTGAGATCCTATCCCAATCATAGATAATCAAAAATTCTGCTCTTAATATTTTTTGTAAACCTTATGCACTAATGGGTTAAATAACTAAATAAAAGTTATCTGCAGAACAGAAGTCAAATAACACAAAAAGCTCCGTCCCAAAAGTTGGAGTAAAGAAAACAGAATAATAAATGATAGAAACAGGAGAAGTACAGATGGATCGAGAAAAATTTTACGGAAGTTTCTTTCAGAAATTCGTGAAATGGGGTCGAATTATCATCGAGCGAGTACAAGTAAACTCTATTCAGAGCCTGTATTTGAAAATGAGGCGGGATTTTTCTTGAAGTACAGGAATAATTGATCTGCCAGGAAAGTGAATAATTTATCGAGACCAGTTTTCAAGAAAGAGATTGATGAAACCCATATAAAAATATATAAGCCACCTGAGGACCAATGTGATATCTGTATTTCCCACAAACTGGGAAATACTTCAGACCAGAGATATTTGGAGCACCAAGAAAAAAAGGAACAAGCTAGACGTTCAAAAACGGAAGACAAAGAAGAAGTAATAATCCAGAGAAGATGGCAGTTTTTTTAATGAACGCACAGGCAGTGGAGTTATCTCCAGTTCTGCAGCCAGTGCTATTCATTATAGAACAAAACTCTGTGTTCACAAGGACCCCACCTACAACATGGTCACCAAAGATGTTATTTGTTTTCTCTGGGGTGAATCTCAAGGTAGTCTCGATGCGAATATTTCCGCCTCTATGCTGACGGATTTTCTGTCCACTTATTTGACAGAAATGGAATCAACAGAAGAAATCATAATCTACAGTGACAGCTGTGGATACCAGAATAAATATCTATCACTCTGAATTCATAGTCACAACAAATTGACTCTAGCATGGATACCAGCACATACAGGGTACGAGGGAAATGAAGGGCCAGACTCACTTGCCCGAGCAGGAGCAAACAAAGCTCTTAATGGCCCAGAACCCTTCTGTGGTATTGCGAAAGCTATACAAAAGACTAGTATCAAATCATGGATGCAAACCAAATCTCACGAATGGTGGAACAACTCGCCAGGAATGAGACAGGCAAAAGAGTTTATTGAAAAACCATCGCCAACATTCACAGAATATCCAGAAACGAAGAAGATCTGAAAAGGTCGCAGTGTGGAGGCAGATAGCCCGAATGCCCCATTCCAAATCTAATCTAAATCTAATCACTCTGAAACAAGACCTCAGTGAAACTCCCTGATCCTTTATGTATCCCACTAAATATTCATATTTGGTTTTTCTTGCCCTTGGAAACACAATTCCTTAATTTGGTAATTTTATTATTTCGTTTTTTTCTCGGCACTTTACCGGCTAGCGCCACCACTTAGCTTTGCAATGAACTGTACCTCGCGTACCTTAAACTAGCTGCGCTTTTATAGTAATCTCGTTACCAGATCAATTCCCAAAATATATACTAGATCATAACGCCGCTAGGTGTCGCTACTGGTACCGTATTTTTTATATTCTCACTGTTGTCGGCCGTTTTTGCTCCGTTTTTTTGATAATGCTACCAGAATGATATTCTTTCAATTCTGACTTTTGTCGTATGAACTGGTTTCTGTCAGCTTTTGACTCTACGACTGAGCAATCATTTAGCTTTTATACTGATATTGTATCGATTTGGCCTGGTGCATTAGGTAAGGGTTGAAAACATACTTTGGTGTGTGAAATATTTACTTGATTTTGTAAAACTATTAGATCATACTTCATACCAAGAATAAATGAACCACGTGTTCATGGGCAAGTACCGAATTTATATCCCCAATTCCAACTCGCGAAGAACCCACATATAAGAAAAGCAAGCTCGTAAAGTGCTTTTGCGTTTCAACTCTCGAATGCAATACTTCATTTTTCTATAAAATATGGTGTCTCTATCACTCAGAAATATCTTGAGAAGGGCCATACGCCGATGGAAGTAGATTCCGTGCATAGTACCATTGAAAAACGACTCAAGAATCGTGATATTATCTACTCACCTTATGAATACATTGCTGTTTGTAAAGAAGCAAGGAGAAGACACCCTTATCATGTGAAATACATGAAATACACTGATTTCAAAGAATTCAGTGAAATTCCGATCTACTATTCCATTAGACCAGGTCGTAAACCTGGTGACCCAATAGTAAAATGATGTATATTCTTTCAAATTCTCACCGTGTGGAGAAATATTTTACAAAATCAACTACAGCCATGGCTATGAAGCACTTCTGAACAGAGCAGTGTTACAAAATAAAATGATTGATATATTATACAAATCGCAGCCGAAAATCAAGAAAGAAAAGTTCAGTCATTTGCATAGCTTAAAGAATGTGTTGGATGAGCAATATTGAGCAATAAATTATTGAAGAAGTTTTGTATTGAAGTTAGCTGAATCAAGCTGAGAAGTGTCAGATATCTCAAATCCATGATCTCAAATCAATAATCCCATTCGCTCATTTGTTTAACTTCCATTTGAATGTATAAAGAGTATTTAATATGAACTAATTGTTTGATCGTGAAATGAGTCACTGGATGTGTACATCCAATCGTGAGAATTGATGTGATTTTAGGTGCACAAAACCTCGTAAGAGATTATTTCAGAAGACAACTTCATGAAATTGAGAGTTCTCATCATCATAATTTGATGAGAATGAATAATTGATTACATAAATTTACTATTCATGAAGTTCTTTCCGTCTCCTGTAAAATCATATCAAATACATTTACGAGGTCTTGCACTGTCACCGACGTATATATTGTATGACCACATTGAGCCGATTTATGCGGCTATTTTGGATTGTTACTTTCATCAAACCAGATTATCTCCAAAGAACAAATCTGTGATGTTCAGTATAGAAATCCTGCTTATTATTGTGACATAGATGACATATATCTAGGTCATCTAGGATTTTCTGCGATCTCAGCCGTGCTTTCGACTGCGTCCAGCATGATATTTCACTTGAAAAACTCCACATGTATGGAATCCGTGGCCGAATTCATGAATGGTTTTCATCATACCTCGAGGGATGTTCTCAGAAAATCAAAATATATCATGTGAACAATAATAAGAAAACGATCGTTATTCTAGTGAATTTCCGGTTGGAATTGGGGTGCCTCAGGGATCAGTACTGGGGCCCATTCTGTTCACACTGTACGTCAATGAGTTGCCTCTGATCCTTCCAAATGCATTCACCTGTTTATATGCAGATGATTCTACATTATTATTCACAGGCAAATCTGATACTCAAATTCAAAACAAAATTGATGATAGTAATAATAATAGTAATAATGTCTTTATTCAATAAAGAGAAAGCGGAATTCAGTCACCTCTTTCCAAGGAGAAAGGCAACTGCTCTTCCATTCAACCTGGGAAAACGGCAACATATAGGTTTTCAAGTCAGAGTCAACTAAAATATGATTCAATTTCTGTGGGACATCTAATCTATTCAGTCACCTTGTAGATGGTCATATGGAAACTCCCTTTATTTGAATGCTTCAAAAACAAATTACTTAATTTTTCATAGCAGATAGAATAAAAATGTTCCTGTTGTAGAAATAAATATAGATGATCGAACTATAGAGAGGGTTGAATGCACTACTTTCTTAGGGGTCAGACTTGATCATCATCTATCATTCAAATTACATTGTAAATCCCTAGGAAATACATTGAGTACTAAATGCTTTCAATTGAGAGCTCTCAAATCAATTTTGGACATGCGATGGTTCCTACTCTTTCACCACGGAGAAATTCAATATTGAATGACATATAGAATCACCATCTGGGGTAACTCATCTGCCGCTCATGAAGTCTCCATAATGCAAAAAAGTTTTGTACGATGTCTTGCCAGTGTTCCTAGTGGCACCACATGTAGGGAATTATTCAAAGAATACAAGTTACTTCCCCTATGTGGGTTATATATCCTTGAGGATTTAACTAATATACATAAAAAACGAGACAGTTTAAAGAAACATACAATTCCCTTCCCGAAGAATTGAAATTGATCAATGCATACGTTCAAAAATAAAATGAAAATGCATCTCCTCGACCTCTGCCCCTATAGTTTGAACGAATTTTTTTAATACCTATGTATGTATGTATGTATGTATGTATGTATGTATGTTTCATTGTATTTCATATATCCAAATATTTGTACTGACTTGACTTGTCTGATAGCATATAACAGCTCTGTGGATTGAATAAATTTGAACTTGAACTTGAACTCGAAGCTTCGAACAACCCTCATTCTACGTTTGAATAACTCTCTCTTCTACGTTGATTCAACTCGAACTTTCTGATCTGTTGTTGGTACCTACTCAATGATAATTACATACTTCATATATTCTTGAAGCAACATTTCTGTTCATTTTATTATGTATCTACTCAGACCAGCATCACAGCTTACCTAAGCTGTGACAATAAACAACTGTTTTCTTGAAACTGGTTATTAATTATTATTATTCAAAGTATAGAGAGCCTCAGGAAAAAGGCATTACATCTCCTCACAGACATGTCTCGAAACCTAACCTATCTCGACCATATCCCGCGCTTTTCTACGTGAAGAATAAGTCTTCACTAATTCTCAGTATAAGTGGACAGTATGCATAATTTGGAAACAGGTCTGGTGTAGCTCCCTCTTTTCGTGACAACCTCAGCTACTTGAATTACGCCATCCTTCCCTGGATACCTCTCAGCTATGCGTCCCATCAGCCAATATGTTCTCGGTGCCTCCTCATCGACGATGACTACCACATCACCAACTAGCTCGATCGTGTCATTTCTGCCGATTGACCAAGCTACGTCTATATTCCATGATCCAACGTTCCCAGTACAAATCTGCTAGTGCTTGAGCAAATCTCCATTGCTTTCTTGTGAAAATTGAATTTTCAGCACACGATGAAACACCTCCTGGGCGAAGAAGTAAGAAGTGGTTTGAAGTTATTCCGACAGGGTCATCAGGGACGGATATATGAGTGAGGGGTCGTGAGTTCACCATATATTCTGCTTCACATGAGAGTGTGATGAGAACTTTTTCTCTTGGTTTGACAGTCTTCAGTGATATTTTCATTTCCGTTTTGACCATTCACTACCAGACACCAGCCATATGAGGAGCGCCAGGGCAATTGAATTTCCATGATATGGAGTGCTTTCTTATCTTCTGCTGACTTGATTATGGTATCTTTGGGATTTATACCAAAAGTCTCCAGTTTTAAACTATCTTTGATCAGAAAATGCAAGTCTTCATCGTGAATTTGACATGATCGGTTGATCAAGTTTTGGCTAAATAATCTGTCTTGGAACGATAAGATCGCAGTTATCTTGTACAATCAATATTTGAGGAGCTGCCAACTTCACAGAATTCAAAATTTCACGATCTAAGTAAGACTATACTCGTGCCACGTCGTCTATGTTTATTTCTTGACGTGGTGAGCTGAGATTCCTTACACTTCCTACTTCATTCTGTAGAACTCTGTAAATGTAGAAGCAGAGATATTGGAATATATAATTAGGGAATCATCTTCAACGTGGGTTATTCCGTTGGTCCATTGGTAGCACAAAGGAAGGGTAGGTCCAGAGAGTTCAAGTTTGTCAGCTAATTCTTTGTGGATCATGGAACATGTTGATCCCTCGTCGAACAAAGCGAAAGTTTGCACTTCCCCTGTAGGTCCCCTGATTTTAACTGGAGCGATCTTCAGAAGCACCATGTTATCTGCTACCGAAACGTTGGTACCACAAAAATTCTGCTGTTCTTCTGTACATGACGAGTTAATTCTTTCTACATGAAGTAATTTATCATGCCGTCCTTTGCAATTGTTTTCTCCACATCTGTTCTCGAAGTGGCATCTTTGTGCTTTGTGACCCTTCTCCAAACACAAGAAACGGAGTTTCAGATTCGCCAGCGCTTCTCTTCTTTCAGCTACCGTCTTTTCCAGAAACCCACCATATTCTTGGATGGCATGGTTGTTGGCGTTCTCACACACATTGGATGGAGAAGTCAGTAGGGCTCTGACTGTTTTCCTGGCCTCTCCTCGTAGAGATCGGTCTAGGCGAATGACATTTTCTTCGTTAGACAATTCGTAGAGTTCAGTTGTTCTGTTAAACTCGCTGATGAAGATAGTCCATTCTGTGAGTTGCCCGGATAAATGACTTGGATCTCGAAGTTTTCGACGGATTAGTAACTTGTTGGTATATTATGTATTTTCTATACATTGTTTAGTGAATTCTACTAACTTTTCCTCCATTTCTCTAACCACCGGAACAGCTGATGAATTGTTGCAAGTACAGCCAGTGAGCAGAGAAGGACTCACAACATGATCATTTTGTACTTCTTTATGTAGTTTCGGCAACGCAAGTTCGACTTCTTGATCGATATATTCAGCAGCAACCGAACCAACGTACTCTTTGGTTTCTTCTACCCAATTTTCCAGAAATTGACTGTGATTTTTTGAACTGATCGATTGAATAGAAGTAATATCTGAACCATATTCGCCTTCAGTTTCCAAAATCTTCTTCTGCAGCCCCATTTCTCTCATCATATTTGCATGTTTCATTTCAATGGCTTTCAATCTTTTTTCCGTTTCATCATCATCAATTGTCTCTTCCTGATTCAACATGATGAGTTCCAAATTCAATTTTGAGTTTTTGAAATATCTGACCTTTATGAGATAACAGATTTTTTTGACTGAAGTGACTTTCTATGAGTGGCGTCCTTCACACTGGAGTCAACTAATATCATTTCGGTATATGCTTTTCTTACGCCTTCATCTGCTATTGATCGGCAATTCGCTGTCCCTGAATAATCATTAAAGGGAGCTGCACGAACTCCGTAACCTTGTGATTTCCCAGTATTTCCACATGTCTTCCAAGTCTTCTTGGTGGGATTCCCAAATTGCTCCTAGTACTTCTTCGCAGACTTTGAGGAACAATTCTACCAACTTTATTTTGTTCCATAGCATGTTCGTAATGGATCGAAGGACCAATGTGAGTTTTCCAATAAAGGTCTCGAGAGATAATCGAAAACGAAAATATATTGCCAATAAATTCCGTGACAAAATTGTATATTGAGAAAACAAGTATGTAACGCCTCTCGAATAACAAACTCAAAAAAAAAAACATGGCACTAGATTACAATAG